AGGCTGACCGGAAGGTAATTGTTTGGGTCATCCTTTTTTCCCTTCTTGAAGATTGAGACCACATTGGCCCTCCTCCAATCTGCTGGAACTTCTCCCATTCGCCAAGAACTCTGAAAGATGATTGCCAATGGTTCCGAAATGACTTCCGCTTGTTCCTTCAATACTCTTGGGTGTAGTTGATCTGGCCCTGAGGACTTGAACTCACTTAGAGCAACTTGTTTCCCAATTTGGATGTCCTCTAATCTCTCATCCACTACATCTTGCCGAGGTTGAAAATGACTTTCTTTTTGTGAGAAGACTGAGGCAAAGAAGGCATTAAGTAGTTCTGCCTTTTCCCTATCCCCTGTCAGCATTGCCCATCTTCTCCTCAAAGAGGCCCTATTGCCTCCTTGTTCTTCCTTTTTCTACTGACATAAGAAAAGAAGGCCTTTTTATTGTTTTTAATGTCCCTGGCAAGCCTGAGCTCGTTTTGTGCTTTAGCCTTGCAAACCTTTTCCCTACAGGAGTTGGCTACTTGTTTGAATTCTTCTTTGGTGACTTCTCCCTTTTTCCACTTCTTGTGCATGTCTCTTTTGTGTCTTAGCACAGTTAGAAGTTCTTTGGACATCCATTCTTGCTTCTTTGCACTTGTCCTATTTTTTGTCTTTGTTGGCACTGTTTGCAATTGCGCTTTGAGCATTTCACTCTTGAGAAACTCCCATCCATAAGTGACTCCCTTGTCTTTTAGTATGTGTGTCCACGGAATGCTGCTCAGTGTTTCCTTCATTTTTCGGAAATCAGCTCTTCTAAAGTCCAAAATGCGGGTTTGACTTGTCTTAGTTTCAGCCTTCCTTTGTACCTCAAATTGCAGGAGCACATAGTCACTTGCTCCTAAAGATCCGACCACTTCAACCACATATAGTTGGGAGAGGCACTAGCACTCTTTATCAGAAAAAAATACAGAATGGGAGAAGGCTGGCCCAACAGTAGTACATGTGAAAAAGATCTTGGAGTCCTTGTGGACAACAAGTTGAACATGAGCCAGCAATGTCATGCAGCAGCTAAAAAAGCCAATGGGCTTTTGGGCTGCATAAATAGGAGTATAGTGTCTAGATACAGGGAAGTCATGCTACCCCTCTATTCTGCCTTGGTCATACCACACCTGGAATCACACTGTGTCTAATTTTGGGTACCGCAATTGAAGGGAGATGTTGACAAGCTGGAATGTGTCCAGAGGAGGAAGACAAAAATGATCAAGGGTCTGGAGAGCAAGCCCTATGAGGAGCGGCTTAAAGAGCTAGGCATGTTCAGCCTGGAGAAGAGAAGGCTGAGGGGAGACATGATGACCATGTATAAATATGTGAAAGGAAGTCATAGGGAGGAAGGAACAAGTTTGTTTTCTGCTGCCCTGGAGACTAGGATATGGAATAATGGCTTCAAATTGCAGGAAAGGAGATTCCACCTGAACATTAGGAAGAATTTCCTAACTGTGAGAGTTGTTTATCAGTGGAACTCTTTGCCCCAGAGTGTGATGGAGGTGCCTTCTTTGGAGGCTTTTAAAAAGAGGCTGGATGGCCATCTGTTGGGGGTGTTTTGAATATTATTTTCCTGCTTCATGGCAGGGGGTTGGACTGGATGGCCCTTGAGGTCTCTCCTAACTCTATGATTCTATGTTTCTATGAGGTTAGGTAAAGGTAAAGGTTTTCCCCTGACATTAAGTCCAGTCGTGTCTGACTCTGGGGGGTATTGTTCATCTCCATTTCTAAGCCGAAGAGCCAGCATTGTCCATAGACAACTCCAAGGTCATGTGGCCAGCATGACTGCATGGAGCACCATTATTAACCTCTATGAGGTTAAGTACCTTGTAAAACTATGACTCTCAGGATTACATAGCATTGATCCATGGCAATTAAAATGGTGTCAAACTGCATTCCTTCTACACCGTAGATGCACCCTCATTCTAAAGATCCCAAAACAAGTGTCTCAGGAAAGGCTGGACCATGTGCCTCTGTGCCACAGTTTCTTCCTTAAGCTTTGTCAGGAAAGTGGAGATCTGTGGCACTTTATGTGTGCTACTATCTGGCTATGACTCAAAATCAGGTAGGTGAGCCTTGCTTTCATCTTCTCTGCCAATTCATATTTCCCTCCCATCAGAGGGAAGAAGTCAAGAGGAAAAAAAAACTTCAAATATTTTTTTGTTTGGCAGGCTCATGCCATGCAATCAGACAGTTCATTTGCACAAAAGCCCCAAAGCTATTAATGCTAAATGTTCCACTCCAGGAAGATCAGAGTAGCACAGAGAAAGTTGCTCTTGGGAAGTCCTTTCTCCTCTTTCACAGATTTTGCAAGCTTCACCATCTCAACTACACAAGGTAAAACATGTGGAGCTAATCTGGATTTTGCAGTTTCAAAGTTTAAACTTCATGTTAAGTCTCTTCCCCATTACACAATTACAAGTGTTTCGATGCTACTTTAACTACCACGGAATCTAGGATTCTGCTATGGTTCAGTGCTATGGGAGTTTTAGTGTTACAAGGTCTTTCTTTAGCCTTCTCTCTCAAAGTATGCTGGTGCCTCAACAAGATACAAAGCCTAGGATTCTAGGGGATGTTACCATGGCAGTTGAAGAATTATCCAAGAGCTCTAATTGTAGAGCGTGAAAGATAATAGTTCTATATTAAATAATCTGAAGAAATAGAATATAAATACTTAATCTCGAAATACAACCATTGAACATTGTTTACAAGACACAATTGATTTATTTAGATTTCCCATGTTATTGGAACATACTTAAACCTCTATCAAATATTATTATTCACTGTCTATCCACCCAGAACAGGCATATCATATTAGAAAAAAATATTTTTGCTCTGGTCTCTTCAGAGTAGTTCATCAGCAAAATAAAACTGAATCAAGCAAGATGGAGCATCAGTGAAGTAAAGAAGTCCAAATTGTCCTCAGTACACTTTCCAATATCTCCACACTTAATCTCACAAACTGTCTTGGGTTAATATTTTCACCCTTTAAGGGAATATTTTAATGGCACTTTTCCTTGCTTAGTGGAATTATTGATTTGGACTAATTCACATTTTTACCCCACTAATTTTCATGATCAGATGACATGTAGGAACACTTATAACTAAACTATACATTACATTTAATACCTCTGAATATTCTGTAAATATTTTTTTCTTTTTTTTCTTTTTGAAATATAATTGGCATCTTGATGGGGTTTAGAATTAATAGAATTAATAGCAGTAATGAACGAGAAGGCAACCCATCATTTCACAATTGTGTCCTGAGAGGAAATCCATTATCTGTTGCTGGCATTTCCACTGGGAAGGACTTTTAAACATTGTTGTGTACTCCAGTAAACAACCCTAAGGGGAAATTACCAAGGGTTTTCTTGGCAAGGTTTGTTCACAGGCAGTTTGCCTTTGCCTTCCTCTGAAAGTGAGATAATGTGACTTGCCCAAAGTCAGAAAGTGGGATTCCATGGCTAAATGGGAATTTAAACCCAGATCCCAATAGCTGTAGTCCAGCATTCAAACTACCTAGGTTAAGGTAAAGGTTTTCCCCTGACAATAAGTCTAGTCATGTCCGACTGGGAGTTGGTGCTCATCTCCATTTCTAAGGTGAAGAGCTGGCGTTGTCTGTAGACACCTCCAAGGTCATGTGGCTGGCATGACTGCATGGAGTGCCGTTACCTTCCCGCCAGTGCGGTACTTATTGATCTACTCACATTTGCATGATTTTGAACTTCTAGTTTGGCAGAAGCTGGGGCTAACAGTGGGAGCTCACGCCGCTCCCCAGATTAGAACCTGTGACCTTTCGGTCAACAAGTTCAGCAGCTCAGCGGTATAACCCACTGCACCACCCACTACCTACCTGTACCTATACCATGCTGCCTCTTTTTATTAGATCTAATGAAACGGTAAGACAACATGATGTAATGGTTTGAGCACTGGACTATGACACTGGAGACTAGGGTTTGACATTGTAGCCTGCAAACACCAACAACCTGTGTAACACCTGTTTCATTATGTCCTGAGACTGAAAACAAAGGGGTACTTTAGAAAATACGTTCTTGTTTTTTTGCTATTATATATCATTTGTTATCATGCCATCATTTTGGCTAGGATGCATTGTGATGTGTTTCTGTATGCCTTCAGATCATTTATGACTTATGACTCTGAGGTGAACCGATCATGGGGTTTTGCTCAGAAGGGATTTGCCTCTGCCTTCCAGCAAGTCTGAGAAAGTGTTGCAACCATACGAGTTCTCCTAATGTTGATAATGTATACAAGAGTACATCTTTCTAGGTTTCTTTCGAAAGACTCTTTTCAGTTGTTCAGTTGTCATTAAAAGCAGGAAAAATGTGGGTTTTTAAAAAGTAACCATGACTGAATATATACTCAGTATAATTTTGGTACACACCAGCCTCACTTCTGTATACCAAATCAACACTGTACCTGTCACTACACATTAATAGATACAATTTCAGGATATGCCATTTACATTTTGAAAAATGTAAGGATATGCCATTTACATTTTGAGAACTAGGTCAGTTTATCTATTAGCTTGAACTTTACTTAAGAAACTCTTAAGTAATTTTCCCTGTTCTTCAAGCAAATGTTGAATAGTTATGGGTTAAGCAACTTCAGTGAGAACTACTGATGGAGAAATGAACAGGAATTCAAAAACTGAAACAGGTGTTTCTGGAAAGTGCATCTTCTAATCAAAGGTGAGGATTTTTCTTTCAATTTCTATTCAGCTGAATATAAGTACAGAGAAAATGGCATTGGCCATAAGATTCTTTGATCAGATTGGGAAGAAAGTGAGACCAAAAAAAAAAAAAAAAATCCACAGTAGTGTCTCCAAAAAGTCCTTTAACAAACCCTTTGCCAGAGACACGGTTAACTGGCTAATTGATACACACAGCATTGAGATCAGAGAGATGTTTCTGTCCCCTGCTATGTGCACTAAGCCAATATTTCCCCAATTATTTCTAAATGACTCACCTCATTGTCATGTGGCGGCAGCTGGTGAAGAAGCTGTTTGATACGGGCTTTCTCCCCAGGGCTGTTCACGTAGGGCACTTTGTCTTCCGGTAGGCAGCTGTAGTACTGATGAACCTAGATATTAGAAAAGGGGGACTGCAGTACAATGCCTTGGTTTTTGCTTTTGACATATTTGCTCGTACCAAGACACACACACAATCAATCCCTTTGAGCAGCAACGCTCAGACAGTCCTAAGATGCAAGCTTAAAATGAATTTTCCTTAGGACGAAGGCCAGTGCTTTTAATTTAACAGACACTGAAATTGGTTTGAGGAAAAAGCAAAGAAAGAGAAAAGAACAGGCTGTTTTGAGTGTTAAAGATAACCCGATGAGGTTGTTCTTTACCGTTTTCTCAGTTAGTCTCCAGAATGTGAACATGTTTCCCTTGGCTAGGTGGATCTGTCAGCACCTGCCTTTGTAAGCATAGGTTAAGGTGCTACTGCTTGGCATCCTGTCTATGACTGGGTAACTGAGCCTCCACCCTCACTCAAGCCCCAAAGGCCTCTTCTGTAATAATTTGTGAAAATAATCAGCAGATAAAATCTGTCGGAAGACTGCATTCTTGCTTTAAGTCTCCCAGTAAGTAATTAAAAACAAACATGAAAAGTGCAGCACATTGTTTAGCACAACAAGGCCGGGTCCCTGGAGATTCCATTTGTAATATCCATGTTTATGATGTGTATACATCTCCTGCTCAGCATATCCTGGGGGCTCTACCTAAATAATCTAGCTCTAACATTACATTCTCTGATGTCCTGGTATGATTCTTGTAAGGTGGAGAAAGCTAGTAATAGGGAACATTTTCCAGAACATTGAAGGTGGGAAATGGTCAACCTTCAGTCCCTAAGTTCTCCACACTCAACAAATAGTTAACTAACATTCCAAGTTCTGTCATTCAATATGTGGATTTGATTGCAGGAAAAAGTTCAGTATGGTTCTATATCTTCTGAAATGTAAGTGATCAATGAGAATGCAGCACTATTTTGGTGATATCTCCTTTTCTTCTCAGAAACACAAGTACCTCCCTTCTTTCTGTTGATGGCATTTGAACAATAGCAAGTGTTAGACAACATCTAAAGAATAGCAAACTTGGACAACGTGTAGCTCTATGGATGCTTTAGAAATGCATTCTTTGCAGTTGGCAATAGTTGCTAGGGCTGCTGAGAGGTGATATTGAAGAGGTGGAACAATTTCCACCTCTCCTTTAGACAACCTCTTAAATTGTGCGCAGTCTGTAATGACTTGGCAACCTGTATTATCTGCAGTTGCCAAATCACATACACCCTGAAAATTACATCTGACACAGAGATATGCTTGAGGTCATAGCAGATCTGGCAGCAGTTAGAACATAGAAAGCTGCCTGATAACAAGACAAATTACGGTATTCATCCATCTACCCAAGGACCACCTGCTGTTATTAGCATCAGCTCTTTAGATCACCAGGGAAATATTTCTGATATCATTTGCTCCACAATCCTTTCTTTCTTTTTGAACCGAAGACACTACAGAGTCATCTATCTACAGGCATTCTGCATATGGTCCATCCTAGCATCATTCCTACACTGAGAGCTTATGTGAGAATAGTAGCTTAGTCCTACGTATTTCTCCTATTTCATATGCAGCCTTACATGAAGTGGCAGCAAAAGATATAGCTCCTAACACAGGTGCCACCCTCAAAATACAACTCCTTCTCTCAAAGATTTGGTAGTTTTATTTGGTCCTAGGAGTTCATAGTATTCCACCAAGCTTTGTAATGATAAATTTTGTTTCAGACTTAAGTGATACTCTATTGCAAAATGCTGGTAATCCGAATGCATTAATATTAGGTAACAGTAAAGGTTTCCCGCTGACATCAAGTCCAGATGTGTCCGCCTCTGGGGGTTGGTGCTCATCTCCATTTTTTAAGCTGAAGAGCCGGCATTGTCCGTAGACACCTCCAACGTCATGTGGCCAGCATGACTGCATGGAGTGCTATTATCTTTCTGCTGGAGCGGTACCTATTGATCTAATCACATTTGCATGTTTTCGAACTTCTAGGTTGGCAAAAGCTGAGTCTAACAGCGGGAGCTCACTCCGCTCCCTGAATTCGAACCTGCATCTTTTCAGTCACCAAGTTCAGCAGCTCAGCTCTTTAACCCAATGCACCACCAAGGGCATTAATATTACGGATCCTTTAAAACAGTGATTTCCAAAGTGGGCGTTACCACCCCCTGGTGACCGCTGCAGCAATTTGGGGGGGAGGGCTGGTGGTAATGGCCACAGGTACATTTGGGTGCGATGAATAACTGTAAGGGGGTGGTGAAAGCATAAAAGAAAAAAGAGAAGATTTATCAAAATTGATTCCCAGGGGGTAGGCCAAATAAGTTTGGGAACCACTGCTTTAAAACCTTGAATCTGGTTTTGATATATTATGCTGATTATTTGTTTTTAATTGCTACTGTCCTTTGTTTGAAGCATATTATCGGATACAAACCAATCATTTTGTTTTTTTAAAAATCTTACCGGCATGTGCAGGTTGTTAAATGGGACAACAGTATTTATGATAATAAACAGTTCCCAGTAGCATAGATTGAAGGAATTTTAGTCAAATTTAATTCATCATGATCAGCATAACTCTACTTCTTTAGTTAATATGACTTAAATTAGACACAATTTCAATGGATCCAGTCTAAATCTAGTCTCACGCCCATGGATGCTACAATGATGCAATATTTACTAGCCCCACATTCTTGATTTCATGTTGAATGCTTCCAGAGCTTGGAAAATTACTTTTGAAATGTAATTCCCAGGACTCTGGCCATATTGGCTGACAACAATAGCTCAACCAGTAACTTTTCTATGCTTTGCTTTTCTCAATCATCATTTCAACACAGTAAGAGGAACAGGAGTCCTTGTACTACAGGATGGCACCCATCACCTGTGTCTTTAATAGTTACAGAATATGTTCACAGTTCTGCCCCCCAATGAAGCAATTGCATGGATCACTATAACAGATACTTAAAATGAAGAACGGCAAAGGCAAAGTGTCCAATGATCTATGTTTAGCACCCTCCCTATACAACACGATGTTATTGCTCTTTAACAGCAGTCAGTCTGTTCAACCAAGGATGCTTCCTGTTGGAAACAATGAAATGACAGGGTTACCAATAAAATCTCAGTGCCACTTACTTTGCATTTATAGTGCATCCTTCAACTGATCTCTGACAGAGTGGCCAACAGAGTTGAACGTGAAGGAGGAGATGCAGCCAATTTAAGGATGATTTAACTGAAGTGAGGCTTGCCCATGTAGCATGCAGTTAGGTGTGTGAAATCTGAAGCCAAATCTTCCAGTGATTCCTCTTTTTTTGATCATAGTTCTCAGGTAGCTTCGGCCCCAAGTCAAATGCTCCCCGTCAACGTCTAACTGCATCCTTGCTTGGCAGATCCTGCAGCACTCAAGATTTTCTACTACTAAGCAAGCATCTATACCTAACATGCCCTTCAAGCTGTGCGATCCCAGAAATAATTTATTCTTCCCTTGCTGCCAAATTATGTCACAGTAGTCCCTCAGGTAATAAGCCATAAAGACAATGATCACAGACAGGAAGAGACAAAAAGTCTGACTATCAGATCATCAGGTTATCATGTGAGTAAAATAGTTGTTTCCTGGCCATCAGACAAAAAAAATCTGTGCAAAAGCTTTCAAGTATTTCTTCTGGGAAGTTTTAATTTCATGTTGCAAGACCTACTGGAGTTTTCTCCCATCAGATTAAGGGGAGGGGAAAAATGTTCTGTATGGGATAAGCAAATGAATTTGGAAAACTAAACTCAACCAGGAAAAAAGGAAGGTACATGCTGACTTGCACCTCATCTCATGGAATGAACTATGGATAGTTAAAACAAAATTTATTTATTTCCTTTATTTTTATCCTGCCTTTTTTGGATATAGGGATTCATGATGGCTGACAATACATACATATAAATATAAAGCATGCTCATAAAAGCAAATGCACGCACGCGCGCACACATACACACAATTTTGATATTAAAACCATTCGCATTAAAGAAATTAATTTTTGATAACTTTATTGCCACCTTAAAATCGCAATCAGACTATAACGAAAGGCAAGCAGGGACAAGGCCATCCTGGTCTCGATAGGGAGAAAGTGAGTTTCATTGTATGAAAGCAGCCACTGAGAAGGCCCTCTCACATCACACGTTCCAGATAATGCTCCATTGAAGTAAAACCCACAGAAGTCATCATGTCACATGTGCTCTCGCTCTTTCACACATAGTCATCCATATTCCCTAGGTAACCCCACCCCCCCTTGAATACAAGTCAATCTTTGAGGTCATTACCAAGTAATACTTTTTCATGCATTCATAAGCCTTTGGAATCAACTCGTGTTCCTCCAGATTGTTTATGAAAGTTTATCAATTGGGACTTCCAATGCACATATAATTTTGCAATATGAATATGCTCTCATAGTTCCCAGCTTACTAACACATTCAGTATCATCATTTCCATATGGTTTAGGCTGCATCTACTCTGTAGAATCCATGCGGTTTGACATCACTTTAACTGCCCTGGTTCAATGCTATGGAATTATGGGAGTTGTAGCTTTGTGAGGCTCCAGCACTCTTTGGTAGAGAAAGCTAAGGGCTTTGAAAAATCACAATTCTATAGCAGTTACAGTAGTATCAAATTGTGTTGATTCTACATTGTATATGATCCTTGGGGTGCATGTACTGCCACAATACATTCTGAATCAGGGGTTCTCCAATCAGTGGTACACCAAGAATGAGTGTGTTCTTCCATGCTTTATGTTCTGGCACCATCTTTACAATTTTACGAATGTAAGTTCTACCGGGCATTTCTGCCCTGCAAAAGTCCAGTTTCACCACAATGGAATATCTCTTTTAGATAGTAACTTTTTTCCTCAATTAACGTTTTAAACTCTTCTAAGTGTCAGCGGATTCTTGATTGGTAGATGCAGCTTCTCTAGTTATTTTTATATGTTAAAGTCCATACCTGTCTTTAAATCTGTGCAACCATACCTTAGTTGCACTAAATATCTCAGTGGCATTCATTTCAA